TATTCTGAGTGAACAGTTCTCGCACTTGACGGGCCACGCGCAGATTATAGAAACAAATGTTTCAACGAGTGTATCTCGACCGAAACGATTTATTTTTATGAGCACGTCATATACGGATAAACCTTTTCGTTTCATTGTTCCCTGAACCGTCTCGTATTTGAAGGATTTCAGTAAAGCTTAGCTGCAATCGATCATTCTATGGCTTTCATGCAAGCTTATGTAATGTATGTCCATAATCATGTAGTACAACGTTATCCGTGTGTCTTCTTCTACTTGTTTTCTGTCGATCATTCCAGAGGCCTGCATCTCATCCCTTATAGGTAACAGAAACCGTTTCTGCTGCTGTGAAGGCGGAGGCAGCTCCCAACACTTCTTCAGGCTTTGTACCCATCTACCACACTACATGACGTCACTTCCGAGAAGACCGTTATCTTAATTCTCACCGCTATTAAACCCTGAAGTCTCATACAGCAACTGATTGAAGTTTACATTTTCAAATTATCATCCAGCATTAAGGTCAGTTGGCCTGTTACTTGTATTTCAAAATAGAATCAACCTGTCTGACCTCTCAGTTCTTAATTACTTTCTGTTACAGTAAAAGTGGGAGTTACTTGCTCTGAGTCTCAGGAAATGAATTACAGATGATAATATTCTCTCGTGTTCTATGTTTTGACCCGTGATTTACAGCCATGTGATATTCTCCACTGTTTTATAATTTAAATTTGTTGTTAATTTCTAGACTGGTGAGAGACCCAGTAAACAGATCAACTGATAGCGACCTATCAGACTGCTGAGAGCCGATCGCAATGACCGCGCGGTCTAAGGCATTGTAATCGTCCCCGGCATATAGCCACACTTAGTAATTATCACTAATAAGTATTTCCATTACTTCGAATAACTACAGCGAAAGGAAAGGTACTTGTATGTACCATCATTGCAAAGACCCCACACCTGCACGGGTTCAAACACTTCAACCGTTCGAATAAGATTAGGGGATTAGTAGTAGCCTCAAGTCCACAGGTGCGACGCTCACCTGTTTACAGTAAGCCGGAACTAGGAAAACAGAGTCATAAAGGGGTAGAAATCGCGCCTCTCCAGTTCTCACGCTGCCAGCGAGTCTTGGGATTTTAAGCCAGAACACCTGTGCTGAGATTTCTACAAATAAATCTTAATTAAGCAGGTCAAATTGTCATCTGCCTCTCAGCCAACCACTTATGACCATTGGACCTCATTGGTTACTCTTGGAAGTTGTACCACCCTCTCCAAAAGTGACGCCAATGGGATTCAAAGAAAGAACCCCCGCCGGGGAGGAGCTATCAGTTAAATTACAGTATAAATCACATTGTTCTTAATCATAAGGGGCAGTCTCTAAACGCAGTCTCTAAACGCAGTCTCTAAACGCAGTCTTTAAACGCGGGCTCTCAAAGTAGTGACGAAACGCAGGCCCAACGCAGTCCCTCTGATTAGAAGTTAACTGTACTGTCGGAATAAGAGCAGCCCAGAAGGTGTTGTGTAATTGATAGTTAATAAATTCAGTGTTTACTCTTACATTACATATACATTAAGTGTTGTGTATCTTTGTGATCACTAAGTGTCTTCACAACCCCTATTCAGTGAGTCTAAGTCCAGGATCCCAACGGCCTTCCCCTTCGACCTGAGGCCCGTAAGCCCTGAGAAAGAATCCAGCTCTACCCATCTTTACCCACTAATCCCACTGTCCAGGAGACTAGCGATTCACCCCCACCCTTCATCCATCCTAAAGCCCCTGAGAAACTACCTAGGAATCGGACCCGTAATCGCAGCCGGACTCCCGCATCATCAGTGACTGACATCTATAGTGGTGCAGGTCAAGTGATTAGTGAAAGGTAAGACAACTAACCTTGAACCGACCCCAAGAAACAATTACAAAGTGGAGCCCGAAGTAAGGGCGAGTAAAAGAACAGTTACAGCATGGACCGTGTTGACCCGCTAGAACACTCGGATCGTGGGTTCGAGTCCCACTCGAGGCATACATGCATGCGTGCCTTTATTCAGATTTTGTTGTCCTGTGTGTAGGTAGCGGCCTTGCGACGAGTTCTTCCCCCGTCCCAGGATTCCTACTGACTCTGTATAGATTACGAAACTGAAAAAGCGGCCAAGGTTCACAAGGACTGCCGAGTCGGCCGCAGCCAGTGCGATGACACACGGAGCGGTTTTCGCCGACTCGGCCGCAGCCTTGTGACAAAATACACGATGCTGCACGTCGATTCGAATGCCGAGTGCGACGTGCGGTGTGGGAGGTAGCAGTGCACAGACGGACCTTCACGAGGAACGTTTAC